TTTGAGATCCATATAATTGCACGATTGTTGTAACACTCGTATTAACCCTATTAATCATAAAAATACTCGACCATTCACCAACAAATCTGGGAAGAAATGAAAGAGGAAGACATTAAAGAACGTGAAGTAGGTTTTGTTTCCTCTTTACACTGTACTTCATGCAAATGAATGCAGCATAAAACAATGCTTGTGTAACTGCCGCCCACTTGCGTTATAACTGAGGTGGGCTATAATTATTTAAAGGGACATCGCAAAGTAACCCTGCAGTATGAATCGTTACGTCGAGTTCATAGTTTTCCATTATAATTGAGAATAATTGTGATCAAATCTGAGGCGGTCTTTTACATTTGGCTCTGAAGTGGCAGTCGGCACACAGCTGTCAACAGCAGCCAATCCTCCAGCCTTGTGTGTTATCAAGTTTGCCTGCTAATGGGATTTTTTCTCTCCAGATGGTGAGAGCTCCAGCTGCAGGAAGGAGCCTCCCGAGCGCCGCCTCCTCCAAACAGGCCACTATCTCCGACGACGAGATCGAGAGACAGCTCCGAGCTCTGGGAGTGGACTAATGGTCTTCTCTGTGTTAATGTCTGCACTATAGGCCTGTGCCACATTAATACTGAGTGATACGGACTCTTTTAGACACATTGGATTTGTCATCATTGAAATGCTACAGGTGTAAGAAAGGGTGCTCACCAACACACATATTAAAGGGACAGATCTCCACTAAAATACATTTTTTAAATCTTAACTGAAGTGCTTTATCAATTTAGATTTGATTGTTATAAGTTGTTGGAGATATCGGCCGTAGAAATGTCTGCCGTCTTTCGAGTCAAACAGAGCTAAATGTGGCTTGTGAACGGTAAACCCACAGACCTTGTTGTGAACAGTTTACGGAGGAACTACTTCCTTTATGCTGCATCGCCAAGGAACATTGTGTTCTCCTCGGCTGATAACATGAGCTACCTCAGCCTAACAGACTAAGATTGATAAATAAATAGCACTAAAGGTAAGAGAGAAACATGTATTTTAAATTATGAACTGTCCCTTTAAGACATTCAAAGACAAACATGTATATTAACCTACACATAATTCACTTTCTACGGCAGGTCGCCTTAAGGCAGAACATCTGATCTATTTATGCGAAAATAATATTTATTATGACACTGGAAGGTGTACCAATAATACATGTAAAGAGCTTTCACCCACCCACGCTGTTTACCTCCCATCTCTGTCTTTAAAAGGGCTACAGTGTCTGAGACCGTGGAACTGGCTCGACCCATCTGCTGTTTTGGTCTTTAGTCATCAGCTTTTATGCGGCTGGAGATGAATGCGAGTTTTAATGAGTAATACCTGGTAATTAAAAAAAGAGCTTAAGGGTTGTCGGTAACCAGATGGAACTTATATTGTTCCTTTTTAAAGCATTTAAACGATCCCCTTCCTCTGAGGCAGACTATCCTCCTCTCCGTGTTTGTCATTGTTATGTGGGTGAAATATCCTGGGGTGTCAGAAATGAGACACGGTTACTTTACCGCGCAGGAGAAAAAAAGCGACATCGACAACCGGTCACTGTCTCCAAACAAATGTAGCAACTAGCTTATTAACCACCATGTTTTAAAACCCTTAGGTACGCTACTGTAGTTACTGGAGATGATGTAACTCGTATGCATGTAACATGTATAACAGATTAGGGTAAGGCCTTCACTTTACTTCAACATAATGCATGAGGCGGTGAGACGGGGTTAATCCGAGGGCGAGCATTTAATTAGCACCACTGAAGAAGAAATGCTGTAGAGATTGTGTGTGAAAACGTAATCAAACACAGTATAGGACTAATGGAAGACTGTCTTATTGAGTTTTTTTTAATTGGTTGATGCTTTTGGGTAATCATATTAGTTTTTCTTTTGTAATTCTGGGTTGATCTGGTTGTGTATCTTATAATGGACATGGGGTTTAAACAGTGATTGTTGGACGCTCTGTTCCGCAGTCGCTCCTCTCTTTCAGCTGCTGTGCAGTTACTCTCATATGTTATTTCTAGCTGCCTCGCTCACACACACTACAGCAACAAAATGATGGAAGTGTTTGCTCAAATTAAACTGTGATCCAGGAGATGTTTTCTCTTGTGGCCCTACTCTAAAACAAATACAGTTGGCCAGCTTCATGAGGGTGACAGGGACATATCAGGTTTTTGTCTTTTCTCATTCTCTGGCCTCTTTGTTCCTCATCGCCAAAACAAAATACTAAATAGTTTTCATTCCTGCATGCATCTGACATGTACAAATCACAATTCATCTTGTATATCATACTTTCCTCTACCTTTTCAACAGTCCATTGTGAGCGGAAACAAAGTCTTAGCCGATTTCGACAATGTTTCAGGGCAGTTCCATGCTTAGGAAATGTCCACACTTTTTGAGCAACGGTGTATGTATACTCTTCTGAATTTGTTTTAGTCATTGTAAAGTGACTCTGTAAAGGGTTTATGGCTTTTATAATGAATAAAGTTTCTTCAGGTAAAGGTTGGAGAGCATTTCTGTTTTTTTCTTTGAAGATGTAGAAACTACAAATGATTTCCACATTTCTTTTTCAGATTTATTTCTTCCAGTCCACTGGTTCCAATTCATTTCCACATGAATGACACACTCTTGAATCTTGCTCAAGTTAAAGCGAGCAGCAATCTGCTTATAGAATAGAATATATCTTTATTGTGCTCCAATAATGAAGGAATATTAACTTCTTAAATTATTTTCAGTTGCCTGAGGGACTCTATAGTGTCAGTCTCCCAGAGCTCTATCTGCTGATCAGAGGATGGGATACTGCTTCTTGGCATTACTGTACAAAGTTAAGTCAGGGGCTTTTGGGGTTTGCCAACTATTTTGCTTGCCAATTAGACAATCCTAGAAAGTAAACTTGCTTTAAAATGTGATTACCGACACAGATGGAAGTTCCCCAAGATGATCATTTTGATTTGATTCTCGGAAATGCTCTACATACATGTAGTAAATAACACATGTAGTAAATAACACATGTAGTAAATAAATCAAAAGATGGATCCAAATGTCTGAAAGAAAAAGTAGTCACTGAAACGGCATTAAAGGAGCATTATTTTGTGTTTTTGGTCTTTCCCTTTCCTGTAGTGTGTTCAATACGTGTTTGTGCATGTAAATGTTCTACAAAGGTTAGAATCCCAAAGTTCTCTCTGTAAAGTAAAGGCACAATATACACATATGAACCTACAATAGGGCCCCTTTAACTGTGGTTTAAAGTGTATCATTTGTTGTAAATCAGACATTGCAATACAAGCATTGTGCTTTTATGGATGCGTATTGTTTCAGTAATATTGCTACAGATATATGCAACAAAATTAATTAAGTGGAAAGACCACAATGTTCTCTGAATATATAAAAAGTGAAGCATCAAACTTAAAAATGAGGCGAAGTTTGAAAGCAGTAGCGTTGACGCATCATTCAGAGCAGCACTTAGAAGCCCATAACTTTATCCTATTCAGCACATGCCTATAACTTTCAGCGCGCTGCCTCAGAAATGTGTCGATGACCCTGCTGCATTCATTTCCCCTGACAGCACTCCAGAGAGACCGCTGTACATGAATCACAGCAGAAACGGCTTGTTTCTGAATTAAGGTGTCTTCCAGCTTTATTTATGAATCCCCAGTGACATACCCGTAGAGTGTTTGGGTTCATGCTGTACACATAACCTCACTCTCCCACCTAATGTATTACACAGGGTCTTATAATGACATTAGTACAAAATGAGCGATGGTACATGAAGCTCTGCATGAAAGACGGTTCTCCTTTAATGTAAAAAATGCATTAAACTGATTTACGCTTTAGAGCCTGGGAAGTGAAAGACACTAGCTCAAAATGTGTTTAAGTACATGTACTAATCAACTCTCTTTGGCATATTTACTCGATATTTTCAATCAAGTGGAATGATGGCAATACATTTTTTTACATAGCTTATTTTTTCTGCACTGTAATAACGTGGGATACTAATGTACATCTCTTCCCTTTACAAATGAATGGCTCTTGATGTATCTGAATATAAAATCCTAGATTTGGTCTGAGAAATAAGTTGTTTCTTCACTTTATTTAGACGTTTTACATCCGTCATCCCAACCAGGTCAACGTCTTGACTGGCTGATATTCTTCTTTGTATGACAGTTTGTCAACGCAACAACAACAAAAGCAGAACATCAACAAACTGAAGTAAATCTATCTTTTAGGGAAACAGCAGATCCATGTGGTGACAAAATGTCAGAAAGTTTCACATACTCCTGACGTCAAACCATAAATCAAAGAGGTTGTGCTCAGCAAAGTAGCTCAACCTAATATATGATCAAATAAATAGGTTATTGTGACATTTTAAATATACAACTTATTGGGAACAGCTATATTCATTTAAATAAAACACATGATTTTAATTTAACAGATAATCTAAATAAACCAACAAACAAATACAACTAGAATGCATCTAAATGAACAACATTTCATCAACCATAAAGACATTTTGTCTTGAAAAGGGAGATTAAAAGTTAGGCTTATTTCTGTCTTTAGAAAGGCACAGAACTGAGGGCTCACCTGTACGGGATTTTTTTAGGAGAATATAGTCTTTTAAATACTGTAAATACACATTTCTCTTCAAGTAAAAAACAAACCAAAGATTCTGCAGTATATTTGCAAAAAGGGATGTCTCTTTAAATTAAACAATTACTGCTTTGGAGTCATGTAACAAAGAGACAATGACTCATGCTTTTATAGCTAAGGTGTTTTTCAGTTGTTTTCTGATATGGCTGACCTTCACTGGATTTAAATTATCATCTGAATTTTAAATCAATAGAATAGTTTCAAGGGTATCAGCAGCTGCTTGTTGCGGAGTGACGGCAGTTTTTGTTGTTCTTTCTGATTTCTTATTGAGTAAAACTTTCCCAACTTGCAAGGTTTTTCTGTCAGACATTTGATTTTAAAGGACCACATTTTCACCAGCATGTGAAGTCATGAAGGAGTCCATCGAACTAAAGGTGAACCCTGAACTACGTCATGGGTCTTTGTGATTTGCTCATCTGTGTGATGCAGTGTGGGCTGAGTTTGGTCAAACAGGAGCTGAGGTTCAGGCTGGTTTTGACCCGTTTTTCTCTTTGTCGTCTGTTGCAGAACCAGACTCTGACCACCTCCTTCTCCAAATGGAGGCCTTTTGCTATCCGCGCTATTTCCTGGGAGGATGGCTTATTTTTTTCCAAAAAGCTGCGTTCCAGGGCCTCCTTAGCTCCCAGACTGCAAGGTAAAGAGAAGAGAAAACTGTATAAAACTGAAACATCATTGTATGGTACTATGCATTGTTATATGCTTATAAGAGGTCATGCCTGATAGTGGTTCTCCTTTTCCTCTTCCGCTCGTTCATTCCTAATTTATCACTGTACAAGGCTGCAGAAAGGAAAAATAATACCTTATTACAGTATATATGGAGAAGAGAAACTGCTCACAGCTCACTGATGTATGCGTCATGCGATAAGGGGGTATCAAATGACTCATAAGTGCATTTACTACTTATATTGACACAACACAGGTAAAGGTTACATTAAAATAAATGCTCTAAACAGGGGTTTCTTGAGTGGAGTGGATGAATGTGACTCACCGCCGGCCAGCTCTGCTTCATCCAGCCATTTGGACAGAATGGCCTTGAGTTTGCAAGCGTTCTTGAAGCTCAGCTGCAGATTCTCAAAGCGGCAGATTGTAGTCTGACTGAACTCTGAGCCGTGCACTGCAGCAAGAGCCTCTCCTACATTAGTCTGCGTGTAGCCTGGAGGTAAAAATGAAATAGAAATAATGTATATAATACTAAGGAGAAAAGAAGCTGCAATCCCATTACATAACAGAAACATTTCTGGAAACGTCTTTCATTCAGAATCAGAAACAGGTTTATTACCAGGTAGGTTGACACGTACGAGGAATTTGACTTGGTGTCGTGGTGCACACATAAAAGTAAAATTGAAATAAAAAATACAGATAGAAAAGTATTTTAATAAAACTATAATAACATAAATAAATATAGTAAAATATAGCAGTATTTACATTGAAATAGAATGGAATAAAAATATGTGCAGTAATAAATAAAAAAACAGATATTGTTTACATTGATGTAATACATAGAGTCTATGATGTGTACGGTGGCCCTGAAGTGCAAGTCAAAACAACATTTCACAAAACACTACAGCATTTCACAAAACATTTAAACATTTCATAAAACACAACGACATTTCAAAAAACACTACAGCATTTCAGAAAACGCTACAGCATTTCAGAAAACGCTTCACAAAACGCTACAGCATTTCACAAAACGCTTCAGCTTTTCACAAAACGCTACAGCATTTCACAAAACGCTTCAGCTTTTCACAAAACGCTACAGAATTTCAGAAAACGCTTCAGCCTTTCACAAAACGCTACAGCATTTCACAAAACGCTTCAGCTTTTCATAAAACGCCGCAGCATTTTACAAAACGCTACAGCATTTCAAAAAACGCTACAGCATTTCAAAAAACGCTTCCACATTTCAACTTCAGCTTTTCAGAAAACGCTACAGCATTTCAAAAAACGCTTCAGCATTTCAGAAAACGCTTCAGCTTTTCACAAAACGCTACAGCATTTCAGAAAACGCTTCAGCTTTTCACAAAACGCTACAGCATTTCAAAAAACGCTTCAGCATTTCAGAAAACGCTGCAGCATTTCACAAAACGCTACAGCATTTCAAAAAATGTTACAGCATTTCCGAAAATCCTTCCGCATTTCAACTTTTACGGAAAGGGTATTCCTTTAGGGAGAACACTTCTTGTTTGTGATTGGACAGAGTCAACCAGAGAAGCACTGCTGTGATTGTTTTGTTTTGTGAAATGCTGTAGCGTTTTGTGAAATGTTGTTTTGACTTGCACTTCAGGGCCACCGTAGGTTTGGCTGAGGTAAAGTTTTAGTGGGGGTCCCGGGCCTTGTTGATGATTCGTACAGTTTGAAAGTTTTTTTTTTTTTACATCTAGTGATAAGACTAACCGAGTTTGATCCTGCGTATTTTGAAGTCATTGGCAAACATCTCCAGCTCTCTTATCTGCGGGGAGTCCATGGGAGGGACATCTTCTGGGTCCCGCATGCTTTTTCTATGGTCAGTTTTCATGTCGCAAATACTCGGGACCCCAGGGGCCTCATCAGTGGTGAGGAGGGCCGGGGGCAGTGTGGAGAAACTATGGCTTAATGCACAGGAACCACTGCCTAGACCATGATCCGGAAACTTGTACAAGCAAGGAGTGAGAGATCCTAGAGAAAGAGAAAGACAGCTTGAGAAGGGGACATTATTGATAAAGTAGGAGTCTCAAGGGAGACCCTCAGACTGTCAGAAGGGGGGTGTGAGCACCATGGACACTTTACCCAAATGTTTGCTGACACTGACAGGCTTTACTTCCACAGCATGAAAAAGTTTTAAAATGCTCCTTTGAGACACTTTGAACCTCTGTGAATAAAAAACGGCTGGAAGAGCAGGCTTATATTTTTGTATTATTGTCATATTTTTGCTATGATAACCATTATATATTGTATTTTCTATTAAGTGTGTCAATTTCCTTTCACTGCCCATTGAGAATTGTCACCAATTTATGTTTAACCTTATGTAACACACACCTGAGCCAGCTCCATTCACTAATAAAGTGATGGTTATTTAATAATCACACAATTTTAAAGTGTTTTGAGGAATACATATTATTTTGCCTATCCCTTTACTTGATATATTTCAGATATTCATCTCTGCAGTTTACCTTAATGTAACAAGCTCATTCACATTTCTTGTATATATGAATATTCAAATCCTTGGCATCAGTGCTGCCACACAAAGTTAACTTTCTGGTTTAAAGAGTATCAATTCAGTTGTCTCCATTCATTTTGTTATTGTTGTACAACACTTCAAAGGCTTCTACCTTGATATTCAAGAGTTTGTACTCATAAGTGGCTGTTGATGTGACATCTAGTGGAGATGCTGGCTATTGCTGCCAAGAGCTTCTTTTTTCTGTCAGCATTGATGACAGATGACTGCCAGATTAGCAGATGGGTGGATGACTAATTGTTATTTGGAACATGATGCTTTTCATTGCCTCAACTCTCAGCACAGCTGTAGTGGAAGAAAAACAACTGCATTTAAAAATGTTACTTCATCGTACTTTAGGGACTGACAATAGGCAAAACCTGATTGGTGATGGTAAGTCTGACAGTAGCCAAATGCTGGTTTCAGTCCACTCTACTATCCCAGGAATATTGCTCTTTTGATTGTATCAGTGATGCTGAAACTATATCTGCTGTTAAATGAGCAACGCAACACTCCCCTCTTGTGTTAGTGGGATTGTAATGCAGTGGTAACTATATCTCATAAGGATTGTACTTAATTTACAGATCTAGTGATGGGATAAGCGCCTAACACACCCACCTCATTTCCTTCATAACATGAAGATTAAGTTACGTTTTTCAACTTTATAAAGGATGTAGTTTGATGAGGCTGTGCAATCCTACATCTCCTTCTCAGCTTGAGTATGTAACACATGGTAATATATTTATTTCTATAGTACACTGGAATAGGATTGCCAAGAAAGCTTTGTCTGAAACTCTGACATAGCTAAATATCGCCTACCATCAGCAGTGTTTGAGACACATTAGGACTCCCCCTGGAGGATTACAGTGGCAGAAATACTGAATGCAGAAAAACACCTCACAGCCCCCGCCTGCTGCACAAGTTAGGATTTCAAAAAGTGGCAAAGATAATGCACCATTACGTCTAGGAGGTAATAAACATCTGCCAATAGTTTTCCAAACTGCCTACACTCTTTACCCCTGAGAAAGACAACAGTCGTTTTGGGAGCTGGATGATCCAGGGAGAGGCATCTTGTTCTCCTCACCATGTTGGAAAAAGAGAGAAGAGTTTGCCTCGTTCTCGCCTGATGCCTTCACTTCTCCCTGGAGAGTGCACACAGCTCTGCTGCACTGCACACATCAGTTTTTTGTGTGTGGTGGAGACAGATTGGACAACAAGCCCCTTTGAAATCACATGTGGACTCAGTAACTCACAGGCTTTTTTGCACATGGACCCCAGCAAAGATAGAGAGCAGACAAACTGAAAGACAGACTTACTTCATACTGCTGTGTTCATATAATGACTGAACTTCATACTACCCTTAAATGTTGGACAACGTTTTAGATGCCAATTCACACGTCCAGCCGATAGAGAGTTACGATAGCATTTGTTAGGATTCATTTTATGGCCACCTGATAACTGTAAGTCCACATTGCCTTTCATTACCTCCACCAAAGGGGTGGTATTATTTATGGCTGAGTGTGTCTGTTCAACATCAGGGCTACATAAATTATACTGGCCAGATGTTCATTAAACTTGGTGGAAAGGTGGAAAATTACGACCAAGGGTAGAGCCAATAAAATACTGTAGCAAGTCAGAATTATGGTGGCGGAAACAGATTTTGTATTGCATGCATGGGGTTTAGGAACAAAAACTGAAAAACTAGTACCAGACAGAAAAAATCACAATAACTCTCACTAAAGTTGGACCTACAACTCTGAAGGAGATATAGACGTGTTGTTTAAACAGTCTGCGCGATTAAAAACAACATATCAATACCATGTTATTGATGCATTACGACTATTAATGCTCATGAATACGCCCAAGTCAGAAGAATAGCTTCCCAACTGGGGACTATCCGAGGAGCACATTGGCCCTTGACGGAGATGAGCGCTCTCCAAGTGCCATTCCAGTTTTAGCTTTGTTTTGGTCTCCTCCAACCACGGAGAAAAATACTCAACTCTTTAGCTGAGTCATGCTCCAGTGTGTGCCATTGTATGCTGGTCAGGAAGCCTACAGTGGGGTAATAATTTGCCTGCTGTGGCTGGAACAAGGTTGATGAGGTAAAAGAGGTTAAATATCTCCATGAAGCAGAAGAACTGCCAGTGTTTATAACTCCCTTTGGATTCACAGAGACACCTTTCACATTACACTAAGTCATTTGATCCATTTTTAATATAAAAAATAGAGTAGTGCAGCTTTAGAAATTAAAATGTAAAGGGCCAAATTTCTCCTGTGACCTCGTCTCATCCAGTTCACATAATTACAGAGTTTTTTTAAATGCTATTAACTCTGTTCCTGGCCTTTCCTCTCAAACATCCCTCTGCTGAGTGCTGTTTTTGAGCACTTAGAGCAGGTTTCATTTTGTGAGGACCTCCGGAAGGCAATAAATGTGGCCAGCCGTTTAATTTAAATCTTGATGTATTTCAGCACCACCTGGGACACTGCGGACACAACCATTTTATTGGACCATTAATGGTAGAAGGTTGATGTCTCCGGGTCTGCACTCAAGTGATTAAAACCCTATCAATGTTGTCTGTTAAAAACGAAGCTGCAATCTCATTTCCTCTGAAAAAGTTGTTTGTTTAGCGTCTGCATGGTTACATTTTAGGTCTCATTCTTACTGGTCATTTTTTCTCCCACCCACTTATTACTTGTATCTACTATGTTTATTTCTGAAAGCAACTGTTATATATTAAATATATATATTAAAAAAGGGAACAGACATCTTTACAGATCTAAATGCTAAATGTGAAAAGCTTTATCTGGCAGTTATAAAAAGTAATCATTGGCCACCAGAATCTTGTTGCAAGAAAAACATGTTTAAAAAAACAAAACAGATACTATTCCCCAGGACAGTTTCTTACATAACAACTTCTAAATAATATTTATTTTCTTTCTGCAGGATTGAGAGGAAGCAACACGTTGACATTGACGGTTGTGTTTAACAAGGGCGCTAAGGAGCTCAAACATTAGGGGAAGTAATCATCTCTGAAATTGATTTTTAACTGGTAACACATTTTAAAATTAAATGGGAACAAACTAATTGTCTGCTCAATTTACCTGATTTAGCTCCAGGCCAGGAATTGTTTTTATAGTGTGTGTGTGTGTGCTTGTGTGTGCGTGTGCGTGCGTGTGTGTGTGTATGTATGTGTGATCATTACCTTGCAATGGGTTCCCACTGCCCACCATGTTGGGGTGAGGGACACCACATGTCTGCAGGATACGAGATTGAGAAATACTGGCAGAGAGCATCTCCTGAGCTACAGAGAGGGGGGGGGGCATTAATAGTGTCTGCACTATAATCATTTTTCAACCACCCTCAGCACTTGCTTGTCAGCAGCAGCATTTGATTACATTCATGACATACTTAATTAACCATCAGTGTTCCTGATGATTAATCGTTTGTTGGTTGACCAACAGTTTAATTAACAGCCCTGCAATAGTTATTACAAATTCCATCACCACCACTCACCTGCCATCATGCCATACTGCTGGTTGCTGTAGTGACAGGGGGTGACTGGGTAATGTAGTCCTGGGGGGGCGTTGCCCAGTGCGTTGCTGAGGGAAGAGGTGGACAGGTGCATGTGGGAGCGCTTGGAGGGCTGACCCAGGGACAGCCCGGAGGACACTGATGGAGACAAACAGAACGGCAGCAGATTAAACATTTAAGTAAATACAGTTGGGAAAGAGTTTGACAAATATGTTTTCAAATTAGAACAAGCTAAGGGTTGACACGGGATGCAATCATATTTTGACATTTGATTTGAAGAGGGATATGTAGAACTAAAAGCCTCTTCACTAGGATTGACAGCATGCAATTTCTCACTCACGTTAAAGCTGTTCCTTTACTTCTCTGATCAAAAATACAATGTAAAACATATTTTCTCTTTGTTTGCTAAAGAAAGCTATCACATCGAACAGAAAGATGTTGATGTCTGTTCTTATTTGAGTTTTCCCACATCACCATGTCAGGCTGGAGCTAGAACAGAGAGTAAAACAATCTAAATGTAACACATTTATTATTTAAGCTACACTCTAAAAACAAATGTCTTGACTCAACAAAGAAAATCAACGCAACAGTTTGCATCGATGTTTATTGAGTTAAGACAACTTCTAATGAGATTGTCTTACAGTTTTTCTCGATTGCTAACACACATTTTTTTTTTAATTGCTCAGTTTCTCAGAACACTAAACATAATTCGCAAAACCCCACACCCAAAGCGCAAAACACCTCATTTCTCCTGCTAAGTGAAGACCTG